TTAACACCTTTGTTCTGTCTCCAGGGTTAGAGTCTTTTCTCCTTTTATGCTTAGAGGATGCTGACAACCAGGTCTAGTATTTCACTGTAGTCTAACACACTCCTGACACAAAGGGGTGGAGGGACTTCAAACAATGTGTGATGAGACCGAGGAGGCCACCAAGGTTAGCTCTTTGGAAAATTTTAATTTGATGAATGAGCAATAAGGCTAATCTTCCCACATCTAAATTTATGGGTGCTGTGAAAGTCTGCATGCAGAAAGCACACGGTGTTACAGTACTGAAAAGGTCACACTTCTGCTGGGAGCTGCTCGAGGCTGGATCGCTAGTGAGTTTTCTCCTGGACCCTCTGCAGCCAGGCTTCTTTCTCCTCTCCCTCTCCAGACTATTTTTGTGGAGTTCAACATAATCTCAAACCATTTCTTGAGTTCCTGTTTTACTCATTTGCTCAGCAACTCTTTCCTGGGGCATGGTTTCCTTCTTTCTCTATTTCTTCTCACTTCTCATACGACTTCTCTCTTTGCTTGATCCTTCCTGTCTTTTGATTTATAAATACTCCAATTTCTAACAGCTCAGTCTTTGACCCTCTTCTGTGTCCAACGGTGTTATATAATAATTTCCTCCACACTGAAGCTTTCCATCTTAGAGTGTGGGTTCTTAAGACTCAGCCAGCAAACAACTCCCAAGTCCTAGGAAGTTCCTGAAATTTTCAAGATTTATAAGGTTCCTCTATCCCCAAGGTTACATAAGTAGAAAAGACTACTGGGAAAAGGAGGCTTTCCTGGCCTGTCTGCCTACAGGTTGAGCAAGAACTCCAGGAATGAAGCTTTTATGGGTTGTTACCTATGCGGGTGGGCTTTTCAGTGACGTGGCTACCTTCGAATTGTCCACACTCCTGTAAGTAACCCCTCACCCACACTCCTGTGAGTAACCCAATAAACTCATTGTTTCTCTAAGTTAGACTTTAAAGGAACCGTTTATTGGGCGTGTCATTAGTGCCCTATCTGGACTGAATGGACATTTGTTCTCTTGTCCCCTAGAAAACTCACAGGACAACAGACACTCCCAAGGTGACCCTATCTAACTTATAACTTTATTTTTTTTAATTTTAAAAATTAGTTAATTTATTTATTCACTTTATATCCCAATCAGAGCTTGCTCCCTCCCTCCTCTCCTCCAGGTCCCACCCTTCCTCCTTCTTTCCCTATCTCCCCTCCTCTAGAATTCCTCAGAAAAGGGGAATCTCCCTACCCACACACCCCAGCTGATCAGAGGAGGTCCTCTTCCCCTGTAGCCTGGCAAGGCTACCCTGATGGGGAGAGTGATCAAAAGCAACTGAGTGTATGTCAGATTTCAGGCTGGGCCAGGCGTTGCTGGAATTCCCCCAATCTCTATCCCATCTTTATCTCTGCACATCTTGTAGGCAGGATACATTTTGGGTTGAAGTTTTCGTGGGTGTGTTGGTGATCCTCTCCCTCCACTAGGAGTCCTGTCTAGTTAGAGGGTGTCTTCTTCAGCCTCCATGACCCCTGCTACTAGGAGTTTCAGCTAGATTTGCCCCATGTCCTCCCAGCAGGCTACCCTGTCCTAGGACTTCAGCTTGTCATAGAGATGCTTCCGCCCATGGTTTCTCTCTTCTCTTCAGGCTGTCTGTCCTCTGGCCCCACCCCCATTCTCCCCAGATCTGATCTCTACCCTCATTTCTCTCTGTGTTCCTTCTCCTTCCTTGTTCCCTGTCTTAACTACCATCGATATGTTCATTTGTCAGCTTAGATCCCGCTCTCAAACTACTGACATGTATAACTAACCTCTGTGTACCTCCATTTGCCCATCTGAAAAGCAGGCATAAAAACAGCACCCATCTCACAGTGTTTGAGGTAACTGCTTTGTTCTCATTGACAGGCCTGCTTTCCCCTCCACCTCAGCTGCACCAGGAAAATGGACTTTGTGCTCCACATCAGAGCAGGTTGTCTTGCACTCCGGATTCTGGCAGAGTTTGGTTAACGGAAGTCATCATCAGGATGCAGCATGGAGCTAAGAGGTGGTGATGCAGCAATGGTCTTCCCCAGCTCTCTCTGAGACTCTGGGTTGACAGGTCTGCCGTTCCCTACAAGGGGCATAATCCCCAGGCCTCTATTCTACACCAGTCTCTCTCAGTTCTAGAATCGTCTTTCTCTTCATTCTATTTTGTCATCTCTGTTAGTGAGGGGGCGAGGGGTGGGGAGCTTTGGCACCTTACCCGGTTCCTTCAGCCATGTTCGCTTTTGGAGAGTCCCTTCATGCATACCATTCATTTCTTGGCGCAAGTCCATCCAGCCCAGATTGCTGGGCTGATTAAATTAGATATTTGTCAAGTGTTTAGAGCCATCACTGGCTTATAGCCAAGTGTTATCTAGGAGTGTTTGTAAAATAGACAAACTGCCTATACATGTTCTCCATTTCAGAGTCCAGACTTAATTTTTAAAACTCCCACCCTTCCTGTATTAGGGTTTTCCAAATAAACGGACTAAAGAATGAACAAGATATGTGCCTATATGTAATGGCAAAGGCAATGGACTTGGTTGACGTATTGGGCATGAAATATGAGAGAAGCAGAGGGATACATGAGTGTGAAGAATTTATTATAGGGAAGTGACCTGTGTTACTATAGGAACTAGCACATCCAATATCAGCAGGGCAGGCCATTGGACTGGGGACCTATGGAGCTTGCCAGGGTTTCAGTCTCAAGGCCATCTGCGGCAGAGCCAGAAAGATCCAGTGTTACCAGTGAGGTCAGAGACAGGCCACGACGTGATTGAAACCCGGTACATAGACGGTTGTCAGCTTTATTCAGTGTCTACCCATCTAGATGTTAACCTCACCCAAAACCACCTTCAGCAAACCGCTCAGGAGGTTTGACCAGTTGTCCTGGTAACCGGTCATTTTAGTCAAGCTGCTCCAAGATTCATCATCGCACTTTGCATTTCCTTGATATCAACGGCACCCATTCACTCTATGGCTCAAAGGAAAATTCTTGCCATTTTGAAATTTTCTTTCATGACTCATCTATACCTCTCCATATTTCCAGAACTTAACTAGCACTCACCATTTTTACCATTGTCCCTGGGCCTGAAGTCACTGCCGTTTCTCAGTGGGAATACAGCCATGGACTTCCATCTGCTGCATGTAGTCTAACTCTCCTAGAGATAATCTTTCTTCCTTCCTTCCTGACTTATTAATTAATAAAAATATGATTATAACAAATTAATCATTAATCTAATAATTAAATTAATTGATAAATCAATTAAACATTAATTAATCGATTTTTTGAGATAGGGTTTCTCTGTGTAGCCATGGCTATCCTGGAACTCACTCTGTACACCAGGCTAGACTCTGCTTCAAAGATCTGCCTGTCTCTGCCTCCCTAGTGCTGGGATTAAAGGTTCGTACCACCACCCTTGGCTGTAAATACCTTTTGCTTTTTTTTTTTTTTTGATGGTCTATTGGTGAGAACTGTTTATTCTTTGCTATGCTGATTATTCCTCCAGGATTTTTGGACATGAATGACAACCATTCCCTTGGTGAGAACACTAGAAGTCACCTCCTGGCCTAATTTTCAAAGGAACAACCTAAGAGATTTTTAGGGGTTTTGTTTTTTGATTAATTTACCACATATCAAGTTCGATTTCAGCACTTTACACACCCTTGATTTGTACCGACGCTTCCCCGATACCTTCTTCTTTTCCCATTTCTCTGCACCCCCAAGTTCCCGCTCTGAGTTAATTCCAAGTCCCCACAGTGACCTTCAAAGGGGAAGAGCCGGCCTCACAGCCCTGTCTCACGATGCTCTTGTACCTCTCCAACCCTTGCTCAGTTCATACAATTCTGTGGACCTTGATGCTCCTTGACCTTGACAGGTGACCTTCCACACTGAAGCCTTTGCATTTGCTGCTCACTCTGCCCAGAAAGCTGCCCCCTTATATCCTACCAAGACTCACCCCGCATTTCACTGAGGTCACCTCCTAAATGCTACCTACTCCCAGCATCTACCCCGGTTACCCCAATCACCGGAGCATGCCCCGCTGTTTGCCATCGCTCTTCCATCTTAGGCATCTATCTCAACCTAAAATTAAGCATTTGTTTACTTTCAGGCCAGTCTCCCCACTAGACCATAATACTACGAACATGGAGTTTATTTCATGTCCACGTCCCTAGGCCCAGAATTGTGTTCAATATACAATAAGCACCTAATAAATATATAAAGTCCATGAACAAATGAGCATGTGAGTGTTTTCCTAACCTCCCAGATAGTAACGCATGTGTTTGTGTGCATACTTCTTCAGATGGGCTCCCAGTAGGCCCCACCCCATTTACCACTGATTCATGGCCCATTGATAGAGAGAAATGTTTATTTGTTTAGACTCTTAATATATGTTTGGAAGGGGAATTCCTGAAGAAAGAACACTGGATACACCTTAGTTACTGAGTGAAGATCTGTAAATCCTGCCTTAGAAGAGTTTTGTTCATTTTATTAGCCTCCGTGCACCTTGCTGCCAGACCTGGATAGCAACAGTCTGAATAAAGCCTGAAGAAGTCTTGCCATATTTGTAAAGGGACATGGCAGGAAACCGTGGCTGCAGGGTTTACAGCTGCACCTATGTGAAACATGTCTTTCTAACCCAGTCACCAGGGGTGTACATTAACCTGTACCAGAAACAAACATTCCATGTTCTGGGAACAACTGTATATGAACTTCCTTCATATACAGTTCAACTGTATATGAACTGTATATGTTACTTCCTTCCTCAATAACCCTCTCCCACCCCCATGATCTGGATTTGGTATTTCGGGGAAAATGAAAGGACACGTATGCAAACGTATATGCCTTCTTCCAGGAGGTTCTTTCTGGAAGGGGAATATAGACATGTAATAGACTTTTGAAATAAACACACTCATAATTCAGCCTTCAAATGATGCCACAGTCCAGCACACGCCCAGGATTATATTTTTATAATGTATTTATTTGTGTACAAAATATGTTGTAGTTTCTTGATGCAGCAAAATACTCTATCACATACGACAAAAATACATCTTTGACTCCCCTTCTGCTCTCGGGAATGGCAACACTGTTTTGGCATTTCAGCAGCTAAAAATAAAGTGCTAGTGTTAAGCAGTACTGGAATGTCTTCACTTGACAAATGTGATCTACGATCGAGTATACAACCACATTTTTGTGTGTGTGTGTGTTTGTTTTGCACAGAACAGGAAGCTCCAGGTCCTGAACACCTCCAGAAGATACAAATATTTGTATATATATGTACACATGTATACACTGTATATGTAAAATGCCAACAGGCCTCTTTGTCTGAGTCCGTTTGCCGCGTTCAGGTTGGGTCCCTTTTCTCGTGAAGAGTTAGACTCACACCACTGAAATCTCAAGAGTGCATCAGCAGGCACCTAGAAGCTCACCAAAGGCTGGCGTGTTGGTGGGGGGGGACACGGAGGAGCCCTTCAGACCTCACTGGGGGACCTGGAGCGGAAGGGCACTTTGGATTGGAAACAGCCACAGAACAGGAGCCACAAGGCACGCTGGATCTCCTGGTTGCGGAAGGCGTAGATGATGGGGTTGATCATGGAGTTGTAGGTGGCAGGCAGCAGGGTGGCATAGGTGTAAATGGCCGGGTCCTCTTGGCTACCCACCACACAGTAGATGGCGAAGGGCAGCCAGCTGGCCCCAAAACTGCCTAGCACCACGGCCAGAGTCCCCACGCCCTTTCTGGTGGCGGCCAAGTGGGGTGGCGCCAGGCAGTGCTGCTGCAAAGCGATCTGGTGGGCGTGGCGCCAGACCACCTGGCAGATGCGCACGCACAGGTGCAGCATGACGCCGAAGACCACAAAGAAGGAAGTGGAGAGCAGCGCCACGTGGCTGCGTGTCAGGGGGCGCACCACGCTGCAGGACTCGCGGTCTGCCAAGCAGTTCCAGCCCAGAACCGGCAGCAACCCCAACCCGAGGGACACTGTCCAGGTGGCGGCCAGCAACAGGTGCACGCCCAACAGGGTCCGGCGCGAGTAGTAGGTGAGAGCGTTGTAGAGGGACAGGTAACGGTCCACCGTGATGGCAAGCAGGCTGCCGACCGAGGCGGCAAAGGAGGCCACCAGGAAGCCCACCATGAGCAGGCTCACCGTCTCCGAGGGCACCACGTACTGGAACACGAAGTGTAGGATGAGGCCACAGCCAGCCAGCAGGTCAGCAGTGGCCAGGCTACCCACGAGCACGAACATGGGAGTGCGCAGCGCCGGAGTGGACGCTATGAGCGCCACCACCAGCGCGTTCTCGCCCGCGATCACGGTCCCGGACACGCACAGCAGCACGTCCCAGGGGTTCACCGCCGAGAGCAGCAGTCCCGAGGGCCCCGCCGGCAGCTGGGAAGACAGCTCCAGCGAGCCGTTGGCCCCGCCGCCGCCTCCCAGCGCCGCGGAGGCCGCTGGGGGTCCCCATTCACTGGTGTCCGGGGCCCCCGTCGCCGTCGCTGCCGCGGCCGCTCCCTCGGCCGCCACGGCCACCACCTGGGACTCGTTGAGCGAGGCGGCGCTAGCGTTCATCGCCGCCGGCTGTTGCTCCCTGCGCGGAAGGGAGCGCGGGTTAGCAGGTGCGCTGGCTAGCCGGGCTGCCAAGGAACTTTGGCGCGCGCGCAGGTGCCCTGCCCAAAGCGCCTCGCTCAGATGGCGCAGCTCACCCCCCGAGCATGCACGGAGCTTAGCGGGGAAGCGGGGATGGAGCTCGAATCCCAAATAGGTAAGCACCTGTTGAGTGAGTGAATGAGCGAAGCGCACGGGGCTCCTGAGCTTTGGCACAGACGCCTATATGCAAGGACGCCACTAGACACCTGAAAGCTCGAGTATCCCTACACGGCAGCCCGGGACAGTCCCCGCCTTGACGGGCTGAGCTGGCCAGAGCCCCTGTCCGCGGTGCTGAAAGCGAAGTTTGCGATCTCAGCAAGCGGAGAGCAAAAAGCCAGAGGACCCCCACCCCCACCCCCCAAGCGTGGACTTGCGGACGGAATGGCTAAGTACGGTGGTCAAGCCTCGCTCCGATTCTCAGACTCCGGGGAAGGCTCGCTCCGGGACTGCGTCTTACCTCTCCGCCTTCCCCGCGAGCTCTAAGTACCCACGAGGAGCCCGCTGCTCACCTGGGGAGTCAGGGCTCCGGGGAGTCTCTGGTCATGCGCTCCGCGGCTGTGTGCCCGGCTAGGCTCCCTGCGCGGACCCAGCAGCTGCCTGCGGGAGGCGGCCCGGGCGTCGAGGAGGAGAGCGCTGGCTGCTTGTCGCTCAGCCACCTTCACCGGGAGTGAGCCGCGGCGGCGGAGCAGGCGGCGGCGAGCAGCGCGCCCGCCGGAGATTGACAGGCGGGGCCCGGTGACGTCAGGCTCTGGGGTCTGGCTTTCGCCACACCCGCCGGGCCGGTCCTTCTTGGCGTCTCCTCACAGAGGCATCTCAAGAGAGCTCCAGGAGGGAGAAACCAGAGTCGCCACCCGTCCAGATACCTCTAGGAATGGGAGGGGGTTGAGGGGAGAGGGGGAGAGAAGTGAAGCCCCGAGACCAGGCAGAAGAGGGTGAGCTGGGAAAGGAAGGTGAGGGATGAGTGCCAGTAAGTCACATAGCAAAGATCAGAGTCAAGGATCGCTGACGGGGAGGTGAAACCGCCACGGGGAAGGGGCGGTTGGGACAGGGGCATCTAGAGAGAGACCAAAAAAAAAAAAAAAAAAAAAAAAAAAGTTCTTTTTGTCAGAGCGTTTACAACATTTGTGTCGCTTGAGTAGAGCCAGGGAAGAAGGCAGGGCCCAGAGCAGAGAAAAGGCAGTAAGATGGACTTCTGCGAAAAGCCTCGGAAACAGTATCTTCCCCAAGGAGAGATTTACCTGAGCAAGCCTCTCTCCCATTATCTTTCTGAGCCAGGTTTCACCACAAGCTGATCTCTGCCCTTGCAACTGCCCCTTAATTGAAGACAAGGTCTTTGTCTTGTTAGAAAAGAAAAGAAGAAAGAAAAAAAAAATCAAACAAACAGCAAAATGTGATTTACTTTGTCAGCAACAGACTTTGCCCTGTTAATTAGTACCTTATAAAACAAATTATAGGACCAAAATAGTGACAACTCAGCTGCACCAGACTTCAGTAGGCAGGGATTTTATTTTCAGCTCAGGAAAAAAAAAAATAAATCACCCTTTTGGTTCAAAGGTGTTTTATTTTGTCAGTAAAATGCAAGCATTTTGTCTTTTCCTTTTGTAAGCAGACAGAATCTCCAATAGCTGTACACCAGCCAAAAGCTGAAGCAGCCGATTCTGTGTGAGGACCTCAAAGGAATGATTGCAGATTGCTGTTATGGCATTGGACCGGGGCCATGGCTGCAGCCTTCATATGCTGCATGCATGGTTTGGCCCGTGGGAAATAAAGCCACGCACACTGTGAGGGCTGCTTGCCCCTTCCCCAGCCGGTGTTTGGCTCCATTCTTACACATTGCTTCAGGGACACAAAGAAGGAGAAAGAAAGAACTCCTTTGGCCCGTAGTCTGTAGGGACGGGGCTGCCTGTGTGGGCTACGGTAGACATGACCTCCCAGACAGCCCCTGCTCCTGCCTCTGAGCACCTGAGCTTACCTGGGAGAGGGTTCATACCTAAGGAACTTCAGTTCCTTATGGCAATAGCTAATGCTGGGCTTTGAATGCATTCACCCTCCATTTGAGGGGTTTGGAAACTTCACACCTTCCACTGCTGTCCGGAAACTAAAACTCAGCTGAAGTTCCAAGTTTCTGAAAAGGGACCTTTTTGAGCTTCAGTGGAAGACTGTCGTGTCAGGGCCGAGAACTTTGGGAGCTGTCCAGCGAGTGGTCAAACCACTGCAGTAACATGTGGACTGCAAGGTTTGCAAACAATCACACCAGGTACTGGCCCAGACCCTCAGGCATGTCTCAAGACAGCTAAGAATGCAGGACAACAAAATCTCATTATGAGTTGTGTCTGTGTGTGTGTGTGTGTGTGTGTGTGTGTGTGTGATTTTTCCCCCTGTAGCTTGATCACATGGTTCTAAAGCATAAACTTTGTAAATGACAACACCCTTGTGATGCCGAAAGATGGACATGTCTGTCAGGAGAGGCGCAAATCTGTTCCAGCTTCACACACCAGAATACAGAAGAATGAACCGAACATATCTTACCCCATCTCTCTGGACATCCTCAGGCTTTTGTCGTAACTGACAGTAAACATGACTTGGGAGGTATCTTTGTTAGTGCCTTATTGCTGTGAAGAGACACCATAACCATGGCAACCATTTTATTTTAATTTATTTATTTTTTATTTTACAATATTACATGCCAAACCCAGTTTCCTTTCCCTTCCTGAGTTCCACATCTCCTCCCTCCCCTCCCTTCCCCTCCACCTCCTCTCCTCATCCACTCCTCTGTTTTCCTTTAGAAAAAGACAGTCCTCCCAGGGAGATCAACCAAGCATGGCTTATCAAGTTGCAATAAGATTAGGCACCTCCCCTCATGTTAAGGCTGGATGAGGCAGCCCAGTAAGAGGACAAAGGTCTTCAAAGAAGGCAAAAGCATCAGAAATAATCCCTGTTCCGTCTGTTAGGAGTCCCACAAAAACACTGAGCTACACAGCTATAACATATATACAAAGGTTAGAGCCATGAAGTCTCCCTGATTTTTTGTTCAGTCTCAGAGAGCCCCTATGAGTCTAGGTTTGTTGATTATGTGGGCTTTCTTGTGGTGTCCTTGACCCTTTTGGGTCCTACAATCCTACCTCCCCCTCTTCAGCAAGATTCCCCAAGCCCTGCCTAATGTTTGACTGTGGGTCTCTGTATCTGTTTCTGTAAGTTGCTAGGTGAAGCTTCTCTGATGACAATTGGGTTAGTCACCAATCTATGAGTATAGCAGAATACCATGAGGCATCATTTCATTGACTTCATTATTTATTTATTTAATGTTTTTTGCATGGCAACCCTTGTAAAGAAAAACATCTCATGGGGACTGGCTTGTATACTTTAGAGGTTCAGTACATTATCATCATGGCGGGAAGCATCATGGTAGCACACAGGTGGACATGGTGCTGGAGAAGGAGCCAAGAATTCTACATCTGGATCAGCAGGCATCAGGCAGGGTGAGACGCTGGTCCTGGATTGAGCATTTGAAACCTTAAAGCCCTGCTCTCCCTGACCCCCAGTGACACAGCTCCAACAAGGCCATGCGTCCTAATGCTGCTCCCTAAACATTCAAATATATGAGTGTATGTTTAGAGGCTGAATATTTTGTGGAAGAACGGGATCTTCTGTGTGAGCAATAGGTAAGGTGGACAGTGACTTGACGGGCCAGATTCTTTTCTCTTAAAACTCCGAACTGAATACCCTATAACAACGGTCAGTCAGTGTTGGGTTCCAGATCTGATATATGGCCATAAGCCACGGCTGGAGCATTCACGATGGACCTTAAAGGAAATGAACAGCCAGGAGAAGCTATCAAAACAGACTTGTGAAAAGAGCAGAGTTGAAGGCGGACAAGTGACCAGGAATGGGAGGAGTGACCTCAGTGTCTGAGCAGCTGACTTCTGGTTCTGTGAGGCCAGCCAGAGCTCTGGGAGCCTTTACATCTCCACCACAAGTTTTCCTAGCTTTGAACTACGTTGAGTCTGTTTCCATTCTGTGACTTCTTCAGGCTTCATAATGGTGCCCAGCGAAGTGCATCATTCACGTACCAGCTTGTCTTATCGTGGTTATGTTTTGAGAGGCTGCAAAATCTGATTCATGACTTGCAATCACGGGTTAAGCTAGTTAGTGCCACAGGCCCAGTGTAGCTTCTGGTTCTTCGTAGTTCACCACTCACCGGCATGAGCACGAGGAAGCTTTCCTTGTCTGGGATGGTGTTTCGTCTGTCCAGCCCACCTCTCCATAGCACTGTTCTCATCTCAGCCCATTTCAGTGGCTGAAAGACTCAATCCTCACCATGCATTAGAATTATCTAGAAAGCTTTTTCTCTTTTTAAACACTGGTCTCTGGATCTGTAGCCCAGCGATTGATTTATTTGACCTGAAGTGATGCCTAGGCATTTTATTTTCAATGTACAGAGCCAAGATTGAGAACACTCATGGCAACAATCACACAATTCCTCTTTCTGGTTAATGTACGATGAATTCCCTGAGATTCAGATTAGGGGCAGAAAGGGAATTTTGGCAGCAATTCAGCTGCAAGCCACTCAGCAAATCTAGTGTTGTTTTTTTTTTTTTAATTTTTTATTAATTACACTTTATTCACTCTGCATCCCCCCCTGGCGAATTTAGTTTTTGGTTTCTCCCACTTAAAACAAAACAAAACAAAACAAAACAAAACAAACAAACAAACAAACAAACAAAAACCTCTTCTGCAGAACCTTAGCTTTCTACATTCACTAAGAACCTCCTTTCTGTCCTGTGATGAAGGCTGACACTTGGTTCTCTCTCAACGGCCTCCTCAGGATGTACTAAACTTTGGCCACACAAGGCCACTTCCAAGGTGTGCCTCCTGTAGACTCAAGTCTTTCCAAATAATTGGTTTAATAAAATCACAGCTTCAATTAGACAAACTTCAGAATATACAAAACTATAGCAGTTCTGCCCCACCTCTGGGCATCTGAAGTCACACAGTCACACACACACACACACACACACACACACACACACACACACACAAAGACATACACAGAGACAGACAGAAACACACAGAGAGAGACAGAGAGAGAGCTTGGTTCTCAGAGCCAAGCAATGCAGTTTTTTTTTTTTTTTCCTGGAAAATGTAAGTCTCTCTAGTGGCACACTGGTCCTTGTCCTGACCAGGCAGGAAGACAGAAAATGCTGAATTAGATATTCAAGGACACTTATTGAGAAAGAGTACTCCTTAAAACGACAGAAATCATAAAGGATTACTGAGTTCAGGTCAGGTCTAGGATGTTGTATGGAGTATGATTCTTTGAGGACTCCTGCTGAGGCAGAAATAACAAAACATATTCTTATATCTCCACTTTCACCTGTGTCCAAATATCCTCTCACATCTAGGCATCAAACCTATGTCATAATGCAAGATACCCACGCCCTCAGCATGTCAAAAAATGTGAAGGGTGCTCTTTCTTTATGCCAAGCGAACAATCCTTACTATAGAGCATTGATAACCTTGGAAGTCAGTATCACCTCATGGTCTCAGGAAATTAACATTAGAAACAGCACAACAATGCAAAGCACCTAAGCATTAGAAGTCAATTAAGTTGGCAAATACCTTTTTTTTTTTTTTTTTTTTTCATGAGAAACCAGTCAGGAAAAGCAATGGCTTTAAGAC